CGATCGACGCGCGCGCGTCACCCGTCGGAGGGGAAACGACGATCCTCGGCCGCGGGCGCGGAACGGCGAGACCCCGATCGATCGATTGGTAGCGGCGATGGCAGATACAGATGAGCTATCGGTGGTTAAATTCTCGTTTCACTACGTGTAGCATCGTCTTAACGGGCATTGGCCGGTACGTACGATTCTAGACACTATGATTATGTGAACTTTACAACACAAGAATCCTTACTGGGCAAGAGACTTTGTACATGGATCTTAAATACGTTGACCGGCCGCGCCGCTCGGGAACACCCGTCCCCGTCCCCCGAGGGAGATCCCTTGGGAACGCCGTTTCTCGGGACGGAAGTCATCCCGTCCCGTCCGTCATCGTCGGGGAGGATGTTCCGGGCGCGCGGCCGGTCGCGACGCAGAACGCGGAACACACGCAAATTATGCATTTTTTTAGCCTTACTTGTCGACGGTAGTAACTAAGTTTATTTATATAAATAAGGTATTACGATTTAAAACGCAACCGGCTGAATCCTCTCCACCCGGCTGTCCACACTCCGCGCGCTGGCGGCGCCCACTCGACGCAATCATCGCCCCCCCCCGTACGCCCGCCCGTGTTTTGTCTCGCACAAGCATTGTTTTCCTACCATTCTACGACTATATTCACTGTTACCGATCCGCCGCGGATCCGATTCTCCCACTCGAATCCTCATTCTCTCCCGCTTTCGCCCCTGCCCCCGCGTCGTCCTCCTCGGTCGGCGGTTCGCGCGCACATTCACTCGCCCCTCTCGCTCGAATATGATACAGGATGATTAAGAGTCGCGCGGCTCGCCGCGGGAACCTCGGGCGGGCTCTCGACGTTCGGAGGATCACTCGCGATCCGTCCGCGAGCGATCGAGAACGTCCGCCGCGTCCTCCGTTCCCGGCGGCGAGTTCGCGGATTCCGGACACGCGTGCGCCGACGACCGGCTCGCACCGGGTAAATAATATTTAATGATAATCGATAATAATACTCGGAGACCGGCGCGGCCGAGCGCGATCGTCCTGTCGCGCGGGATCGCTTAAAACACAATTACCTAATTGAAAGTTACTCTCTTTCTCTCACTCTCACTCTCACTCTCTCATTCTTGCTCACGTCCTCTCTCTCTCTCTCACTCGCTCTCGATAATTGGGGGAATAGGTACCTCTAGGAACCGCATGCACGCGCGCGCACGCACTCTTCCCAAGCAGTCTTTAGAAATATGTTCCTCTCCCGTCGTCCTTCCTCAGCGCCGGCGCCGCGCGGTCCGGTTGCTCGTTCGCCGATTCGAGACTCGCGCGGACGCCGGCTCGACCATGGGCCTCGACCATCGGCCCATGGGTTTTGTGGTATACATTCGCGTACGGATTAACGGGTCGCGGAGAACGCGTCCTCCGGATCGTCGGCCCTCGTTGATATGTGTGTATCCACCGGCTCGATCCTCCCCTGGGATCCCCCGACGCGTCGCGGACTCTCCCCCGCCGATCGGGGACCTCCTGGACGGAGATCGAAGCCACGCACGCGTTTAAATCACGGATTCCCTCGCGGGGAGGGAGCGGAAACCCCTCCCCGGGTTGAACAAAGTCCGACAGTTCGAGCTCGCTTCGAGGCAGCTCCTCGAGAACGATCGCTTCGAGCGCGCCTCCTCTCCTCGCGCTTATCTCGAGCGGCGACGGCGCGGTCGCGGTGAATCATCGGCGCTCGGCTCGTCCTCGGCGCCGCGAGTCACGCGGAAATCGGGATTAACCCCTGCGCGACGGGTCCGCGCGCGCTGATCCACCGGGGAACGCGCCCCGCCCGGCCTCCTCGTCGATCCTCGACCGTCGTCACTCGTTTTGGCTGCTCGACAGACGCTCTGCCCCTCTTCTGCCCTCCTCCAGCCTCTTCTAGGTCGCGCTCGTGAACAGAACGGAGTTCTTGTAGTAACCCGTTCGGGACTCTGAAACAGAAGCGGGCGAACGGTGCAGTTGCTGGTGCGGACTCTGCGGCAGGGAATGGATCTCGGCTTGCCGAGGGATTTCGGGGACTCCATTTACGTGAATTGCGGGATTGCCGAGAAGATTTAACCCTTGGCTGTCCTATGTCGGACTCGACGTTCCGTTTTATTGCAACCTCTACCTGTTTTAACAGTTTTTTTCGATATTTATTTGTCACAATTGTACCATTTAACCCCTTGCCCTACAAAGTGAGACTCGTGGTGAAGATTTTCGACATGGTTCAACAAATATATATATATTACTCAGTTCGGATTCAAAGTAAATATTATTCTGTAATCAACTGTTATACTTAAAAGGAAACAGGCATAACATATGCTTAGAATTTATCTCTTTTTCCAATAAATTCTTAGTGACAAAGTAGCCGTATCGATCAGAGTTGAGAAAGAAATAGGCCAAGGGGTTAAAGGTAACATCTCGATGACTCAAATATTCTTGAATAAATAAATACAGCGTCGTATTAAGTAATCGAATGAAATAACGTCGACGTGAACCTCAAAGTGAGAAACACTTCGGACCGCAAAGGGTTAATGATGTGAATGATCGTAAATGAAGGAGGGAAGAGAAGTGAAAAGAAGATAAGCGATTGAGAGTCTAGTATCTCAATAGAAACTCAGGGGACAGTTTCTCTCGTGTTTTCAACTGTATGCTACCATGCTATTCACAGTGCAACAGAACATTCTTGAAGAAACCTGTAATTAACCCTTTGCACTCGGGAGGACTCTCGGTCACTTGAAGTGATAAAATAAAGTTGAATATTCAACGTCCTCTATATTCCATCAGCAACTGTTAGACAATCCAGTGGAAAGCTCCCGATTGCAAAGGGCCGGTACCATCCGAGACATGTTTATCAAGCCTGAAATTTCCATGAAATTTCACCGGGCGGACAGGTGGATCGCCCGAGGAATCGGCCCGTCGGTCGGATTCGGCACCGTAACGGAACCAGTCCGGATAAATGGAGTCCTACCGTATCCGGGAAATAATGTCGCCCCGCGGAACGACGGACGGGGAAGGGGAGACACGGCGAAACGCGATCTCCGACGGCGACGGTGATCCGAGAAGAACAGAGAAGACCGAGCGAATGATTCGATGATCGCTCGGTTGGAAGCGGCGCCGCTCACTAATTATCCTTTGCCTGTTGAGACGTAGATCAACGCGAAAGGGACCAGGCGAAGACACGCCGGCCACGAACGGAAGGGGAAGGGGAAAGGGCGGCAGAGGGAGGGGGAGACGGACGGAT